ATTATCATATTAATATTATAATCATTAGAATATTTTCTAATTAGGCTAACTTAAAAAGATATTTTTGGCGACATTTTATTCAAATGTAGCTAAATAAGGGATAAAATACAAAACATGGCAAACCTTAAGAATTGTTCACAATGAAATATTAACTTTCAAAAATTTTTTTTGACCTTACGACCTCTGAGAATCAATACATTTCTGAAAGCTCTCATGAATGGTACAATTATGTTTAGATTTGAACCCAAATTACAATAACAATACTGCATAGAATATTAGACTTGTTCACACATCGCCTCATAGTCATAACATAAGCGGAGGGATACACCGGAAATTTTCTAAATTTCTTCCGGTTTAAGGACGCTTGTTATTGTTTACATTAGGCCACCCATCCATTGTTAGCATTGTTAACACAAGTAATAAGTAATCAAATACATTGTTTGCAAGAATCTCAAAACACAATGATGCCAAATGGCTTTAAAATACAACGGAAACAGTAACCCGGAAACACGCTTCACACGCTATCAAACACGCTTTCACACGCTATCAAAGAAAGAGGTCGTCGGAGATTATTTCGCTTGGTGAAGCAAAACCGGAGCCAGACAGTGGCTCAGCTGACAGCCCAATATAATGCAGGGTCAAGTAGAATAGTATCAAAGCACACTGTTCAGCGGACACTGTTGGATATGGGACTACGCAGTAAACGTCCCACTCGTGTGCCTTTGCTAACCAAGCGTCATCGCCAACTACGCCTGCGCTGGGCCCGGGAACATCGCGACTGGTCCATGAATCAGTGACAGAGAGTTGCCTGGTCAGATGAATCACGGTTTATCATTCATCCCACCGATGGCCGTGTCAGGATACGCTGTCTTCCAGGCGAACAGTTGCTCCCTCAATGTACTGTAGGTCCTACACAGGCAGAGGCAAGTGGTGGCGGTATCATGCTTTGGGGGACGTTCTCTTGGGCGTCACTGGGACCCGTGGTTGTGGCAGAGCAGACCATGAATGCTACAGGGTATCTGAACATCATTGCGGACCAGTTGCACCCTTACATGGCCTCTGTTTTTCCAGCTAGAAATGGAATTTTCCTACAGGACAACGCTCCGTGTCACAAGGCTCAAATTGTGTTGGACTGGTTCCAGGAACATGACGCTGAATTCCAGTTAATGTCCTGGCCACTTATCTCACCGGATCTCAATCCGATAGAACACAAATTGAATTTGGGATGTCATGAAACGGCAGCTCAGAGTTTAAAGACCACTGAGTCGCAATATCTCGGATTTGCGTGACCGTTGCTTAGACATCTGGTACAATCTGTCTCCGGCCATCTACCAAGGACTTGTGGCATCCATGCCAAGGCGGGTTGCAACTCTGTTACGGGCTAAAGGTGAGCCAACTCGTTATTAAGAGGGGATCATAATGTTTTGGCTCTTGAGTGCATTATTACAACGTTAATTATTATACCAGTTGTTCATTCATTAGTTCGAAAACGAATCCGTAAAAACTTGTTGCAACATTTCCCATTTTTCAATAGCATTTCAGAGCAGACTTTTACGAATTTGATATCTGGTCCTAAACTTTTTGTTACAATGAATTTCGGTTGTAATGTAAAATTTAATTTTAAATGAACAATTTTTTTTTTAAATTAGAATATTACACCTATAAGGAAATTCAAACATTGATAATATAATTTGAATTTTTATTCCTTAATATTTATACTTTTCGTAGGATGTGAAAGTATTCTAAGTCTAATATTCTAAGATATTCTAACTAATATTTATAAATAAATTCATTCTAATGAAACTCTACACCAAAGGCATTGTATGCTATTTTGTAATATTATTAAAATTTTTACCTGTATTTCGAATCTTAAAATCATCAAGAGAGGTGGCATTTTTTTTTAAACCTTAAGACACATTGGGGAATAAAATGAAACAAAACATTAGAAAATACTATTAGATGGCTCTGTTATATTCTGATAACTGAGTTATCGTAAGAGTATGGGAAAACAGAATAATTTTATTAGATCTCCATGATTTCATACAGAGATCAGGGTTAATCAGGGATATTTTAAATCAGAGTTGTTCAATAACTATCAAAGCCCAAACTTGGAAGAAAAAAAACCAAGTAGGTTTTTTTCTTGCATTTTATTTTTTTTTTAAAATAATTATTATTAGAAAAAAGAGATAATGTACTTAGGTGTTTTCGCAAAAATTCGAGACATTAATTCACAAAATAATTGAAACTACTACTGTTATAACAAGATTAGAATTGGAATTCACTGAAATAGGAAAATAATAGATTTATAAAAGTGCATTTTAACTACTATTTTGCTAACCTATGAGTCTAATTACACACTTTCAAATGATACTTTTAAAATATAGCACCCTTTAACTGGTGAAATACTTGTTCAGATGCATCCTTTGTTGTTGAAATATTAGAGCTTATTCTGGAAGCTCCCTTTCACTGTAAAAAACATAGGACACAACTCAGAAAAGTAATGCAATGCACCATTGCATAAAATAGTTTTTCCAAGAAAAAAAAAATGTCCCGCAATGGACTGATCGTTAAGACACGGTTCCCAGCAGATCTGATTTTTTTGCAGCCACATTTTTTTTTTATATCTGGAAATGAGCTTTTGGTTTTATGTTGATTAAATATCTAATAAGTTGTAGAGAGTTAAGTTTTTTTTTTATATTTTTCTGTAATGTAAAGGAAAAATTGATCACAGTAAAGTTATATTTTTTTTGCAACCATATATTAGGTTTGAAGATTTAAAAAAACATCTTGGTTTTTTTTCTTCTTTCTTTTTTTAAGAAAAAATTTATTTTGTTTTGGAGTAATTTAACTTTATTTTTTTTTTAAATGAAGTTCATTATTTATATAATTTTGAAGAGTTAATGAAAAAGTTCTATTTTTCTCATTTTTTACATAACATGTCTGAATAGAATGCTTTCATTAAAAAAAAACTAGTCCCGCAGTGGACTGATCGTTAAGACAAGGTTCCCAGCAGATCACCGAAGTCAAGCATCACTGGCTGCGGTCAGTGTGCGGGTGGGTGACCACTTGGATCTGTCTGCGTAGGGACCGA